ATTTTGTCCTTATTGGATTACACGTAATGTAATAATACATAATTAATGATCGATAACATGGGTGTTGCGTTATTAATGGAAGCCACTGTATATTGGTGAATTATTCCTTTTTTAAGTTAAGATGGATATCGATGATACGAATGATGCATTGAGGAAACTGCATATTTTCTTTGTAAGTTGCATATTGAATCAGCTGGTTGATATCCAAATCGGGAAATTTTGCGTTAAGGGCTAATTCCATAAATTGTTGATCATTGAAGTAGATCACAATCGATTGGACAAGATTAACGTAGCAGACGTTAATCTCCTTGAACGCATCGTTAAGAGCAAAGTGAGCGTTAATAATCTTTAAAATAGTGGCAGTGGGGAGTTCCTTAGGGCTTTTGGAAATGGTAGCTGCACAGGCAAATGGGGTTGAACGAGTAATGACAGTAAAATCTTTGTTTTGATCCATTTCCATATTAGGGTCATCTTCTATGGGGAGGTATTCATCCTTATCCAAGACGTTGGGGGAATAGAAGTCAAGGGCTTGAAAAAATTTTCAATAAGTACAGCGTCTGAAGCTGCGAACGGGTCAAGTTATTCTCCAGAGCTAGAAGTTGAAGCAACTGGTGTCTTGGGGGTTGGTGTTCTGCTAGGTTAAAACGGTGCTTATTTTTCAAAGACGCTTGTTTGTTTTGGTTTTTTCTGACCATATTGAGTAAAAGTATTTTTTAAAGTAAACTCTTCCCTAATTATAAAGGTGTATTTGAACTGTTGTAGAACTATAAGACTAACTAACGGAGTCAAAAATATAATAAAACTTAAGTGGTGAATGTTTTTATTTTCTTAGACTTTTTTGTGAAAAGTGATCGATGGAAAAGTGTCTCTTTGCTAACATTTAAATTTTTTATTTTTTAATTGTAATTAAAGTTAATAAAAATAAACTTTAAATAAAATTTAAATAAATAATAAAATAAAGGTTCCTTAAAGTTTCTTTATAAGCATCATATTATAATTATGCATCATATTATTTATAAAAATTAGATCAATTTAAAAATAACTTATACAAATTAATAAATATAATATATCAGACAATCAGAGTAGATTAACAATAACAAATCATCACCTTAGTGATAAATAAAAAATCATTATAAAATTATTCATCACAATTTAGTAAAAAAATCAATAAGCAATTTCAACAAAAGTTTAATAAAAATTGGTTAAAAATTAATAAAAAATAATGTGATTTCTCAATACAATTTCAACAAAATTTCAACAAAATTTTAACATGATTACAGGGATGTTATTTAATCAATATATCAAAATTTCTTATGATTATGATATTATTTTATTCTGTAAAAAGTAAAAAAAAACTGTAAACATTATTATGTAACCTTTTAAATTACTATTCTATTATAATAATAAATTTATTAAGATTAGTTTCTTTTTTCATATCAAAAGATTTTTCTTGCTACTCTAAATATAAAATTACTTTATCATAAACCTCAATAGCTTTTCCAGAAGTAATTATTGATGATAAAGAATCTTTCTCTCTTTCGTCTTTTTGATCAGATAAAACTGCTTTTAAAATTTTTTCGTCAGATATCATTTCGTCTGTAATCTCAGACTTATTATACTTGACAAATTCTTTAGCAGAAAAAGAATTGTCAAAATCTAGTTTATCAATTAATATTTGAACTTCTTCCATTTCCTTTAATAATTTAAGTTCAAGTAATATATTATTACCAGTTTTATCCTTGTTTTCATGATTATCTTTAGGTAAAATATCTGCTTTCACCTAACAATTTTCAATTGTTTTATTTGTAACAATATCCTATGTTTATGTAATGTATTTTATATACTTTTTAATATCAATTTTAGAGGATTCAATACGGTATTCATTAAATTTATCAAAAGCTTTAACCAATTTTGTAAATAAAGCTTTTGATATTGTGCCTAAAATAAGTTGAATTAGAATTAAGTATAAATAATGTTAATGTTAATTATATTTTAACTAAAGAATTATTAAATAAATTACATTTCTCACCTTAAAACTATTTATGATACCTTGATCACAAGGTTGGAGGTGTACAGTAGTATTTGAGGGGAAATGTCTTGCTTTAGTAAAAGATAAATTAGATATTTCCAATTACTTTTGTTATCATTTTTGTTAATGGTTTAATAAAAAAAAATATGTGATTTATGATAATATAAAATTGTAAAAAAAAGTTTAAAAAAAAAAAAAGAATAAAATCTATTTATCTATTTATAAAAAAAACATCTTACCAAATTAGGGTTGGACCGGTCCATAAGTCAGTTCTTGGACCGGTCCTAAGACCGGTCTTGTACCGTTCGGTCCCCTACCAGTCCGGTCCGGACCGGTCCTCAGAACATAGACCAAGGACCGTAAGGACCGGTCCCATTAACCGTTAAATGTAACTTCTCTGATAATTGACTTGATTTTGATATCATATGATTTAGATTAACAAACAATAAGGTTTCCCGCATGCAAAACGGTCTTTCAGCCGCAACATACACGAGTTAAAACATACAAAGTGATTGACACAGCCTACAAGAGCACAGCCCGCGTTATAAAAACACGTGATTTACTGAACTTGGTCAGAAAGTTGATCGGTTTCTTTTGCCCTAATCAATGTTAGTTATATAACCTTAGTAAAGACATTTTAAGAAATTTTATGTTCCGTGATGCTAGTAAAGTCTTCAGAAATCTATATGAAAATGGTCATTAGTTTGCAAGCTTCGAAACGTTGAATTTCTTGGACCCCGTCAACAATAATTTATCATGATTTATCAAATTCGCTGTATTTTTAAATCTCCTAGTTACTGTAACTAGTTCAGAAATAACTACGGTCTTTACAGAGGCTTATCGTCTCTCCACCATTCACAATGAAAAGAAATTAACTGAAGAGGAAGTTGTTGCTTATTCAAAATCAGCCCTCTCTGCATGTCTAAATGAGGACACGAGACTTAACTTTTGAGATCTTTAATAGTCCCTACGCCTGGTATGTTCTCACACAGATACAAGTGATTTAATTTTTTGATCCGTAGCTTTATTCTCGCCTGCGTTATGTCACATAACTGTTTTTATCATTCGTATCATTTACATGCTGTCTTGCCGGAAGATCAATCACAAAGTAAGTACTCCATGTGAACTTAATATATTTTATGTGAGGAGACATTAGGCTTATTCATTTATTTTGCAGGAAAGCATACGAGTTCCGAAAATGCGGATCACGATAAAAAGTCTAATAAATGTAAGATATTTCCTTTTATTGTAACCGAATCTTAATTGATCTTCATATTTTAGTTGCAATTACTAAAGGATTGAAAACAATTGACAATGTACTTCCATGGAACAAATCCCATCCTCTTCCTAACAATATCTATTTTCTTAATCAAAATTTTCGTCCGGAAAGCATATAAGGAACTTTGGGAGATTATCTCTATACAGCATCCCGAACATGATTTCCTAATTACAGGAAATCCAGGAACTAGCAAAACCTTTTTCAATCTTTTTTTATTGTGCATACTTATTGGAAATGGTAAAACGGTGGTCTTTCAGAATCCTGATCAAAAAACTTGTTACAAATTCAGCGACGGGACTGAGGAGTGTACCTCAACACGATTATGTTACCTAGTTAGACTGTTAGATAGGCAGATATCAGTACAGCAAGAACAGAATGCAGATGATGAGACGTTTATGAGACGTGGAGACTCGGGTTGCACATGGTTCGATCAAGAAGGGAAAATCATAGCTTTGGGTCATGGTGTACTCCGTATAAATAATTTGGATCCTTCTTGATGATCCACAAGTATATTATCTTTAGACACTATGTAACCTCAAATAAAGCCAAACACAAAGAATACGAAAAAGGAAAGTTAATTGATACAAGGATTATTCCGACATGGGATTTAGAAGAACTGGAAGCCCTCCATCAACATATTTATATTAACACAGACTTTACTAAGTTGAGAAAATTTTACGCTTTATGAGGTGGAATACCAAGATACGTTATAGAAAAGAAAGTTCTCAGAATCTTCTTGAGATGGCTTTATTACAGCTGCGACAGGAGTCATCTTCGCCTCCAAATGGGTGGCTAATTATCTAATCAACCGTTTTGAAAAATTATGCTTTGAGAAATCACCGATTAAAGCTCATTGGGTGGAAAACATTATGAATATTGGAACAAGCCAAGACTCTTACGAGTTCTACTTTGTTGTTCATCTGAAATATGGAATGATTTCACCAAACAATCGTATGTTAATCTAAAATATAAAGATAGAACGATACGAGGTTGTATGTTTTGGAATGCCGTTATATTTTTAAGAACTATTACTTCAATGGATATAAGATTTGTAAAAGTGTTGATTTTCCTTTTTTTTTTTTTTTTTTATAAATTCATGTATGGAAGCTTTTGTGTCCTACATAGCATCGCATAATTTATTTGTATATTTGTATGACAGACCAATTGATAAATTACTTTGCTTTTATTCTTTGAAGCATCAAAGTTCCAGATTTAAGATTGCGAAATAAGTAATGTACAAATATTTTCGCTGCATTTATTCTCTAAATCTACCTCTAATCAAGCAAAAACTAACTCGTAAAAAAAATTTCAATATTCTCGAATTATGACTCTTACAAGATTAATCCATAATTAATATTCTGATTTATGATAAAAAGCATATAAAGATGTAAAAGACTATATAACCAATCAAATACATTCATTGCTTATATTTAAGCTTTTATATATTTAAAGTTAAAAATTAATAAAATATTTTTACAACAATGATTCAAAGTTCGATATAAAATTCGAAACGCCGTTGAAAAAACCGAATCCCTAATAAAAGTCTCAATAAATGATCCTAATTTCGTTAATGGAAAGATCGTTAATGGAAAATCATTAAACGATCCGAAAATCCGAAAATCATAATTTCATCGGTGAAACGAATTCGTTGCTTTTATATTAAAGAATTTTATATTACTATTATATAAATAAAAAGATAAGTAATTATGGAAACAATTAAATAGTAATATAAAAAATTTTATACTAAGTAGTAAAAAGAGTTGTCTTTTTTCACTTGTGAGGTAAGTACCCAAAGACGATCTAATGAGATGAATTCCAAAAAAAAAAAAAAAAAATTGTTTAAAATATTAGAAATCCAAAGTATTCGTAAAAAGAATTTTTGAATATTAAAATCCATGGTGTCTTGTAGCAAAGTTTCCGACGTAGGATATTATCCATAAACAATAAAAGCTTGACATCATTTTCATCATGCTCGAGAATGAATTGGTTTGTGGTTTTAACAATCAATTAAATATCACAAGTTCATCTAGAATAAATGAAGGAAATTAATCATTGACGAAATTGAAATCGAGTGTTTTGCCCAAAGTATTTATTTGTTTTTTTAACAGTAAATATTTGAAGTTCGTTTAACTGTAATGGTTAATTTGTTGTTTTAGAACAATCTACGATGAGGAAGATCTTAGTGTGTTATATCAACAAACTAATTGTGAAACAAACATATTGTTAATTCAAAAGTATTGTTTACACGTTCGCTATATCGGTATTAATATTTCAATTAAACGAGTACATATAAAGTAAACGGAACTTATGAAAAGTCATAAAATGATTTAAAATTAGGGTTACTATAAAATTAATGTCTCTATAGTAAACTTTTATTCGAGAATCACATACATTGTTGTCTAATTCATCATACTCATGATTCATTGCACTTTAAATTTCAGGAGCCTTTCTTAATCAGATTCATACATGTTTCCTAAAGGTAATGAATCAGTCAGTATTCAGCAGTACAGAGAGATTTTGATTGGCCAAATACCATCTCGTTAAGAAAAAAGAAAACATTTATTGGGAATTTTTATGCATATCTTTACACAGTCTGTTTAATTAAAAATATAATTTTTAACATTAACCTTTAATGTACTCAGTTTGTCAGTAAGGGAATCCCTTAAATAAGCATAAAAGCATCGATGCATCAATGTCGATCCCCTAAAAAAAAATGCAGGGTCCGTGGGATTTCGGAATCCAATATCAGAAAATTTTGATTATATCATCCATACTATATAAACCGTTTTTTTTTTTTTATTTTATACTTTTTTACTTTCTAATGTATTGGGTACATTCTCGATCAATTTACCAAAAAAAACGGCGGGAAAATTTTCAATTGGGAAGTGTAAATATTGTTGACTTTGCCCTGATCGAATCCGTAATTCCCTAAAAGCGAATCATGCACATTTATGGGGGGTATAAACAAGTATGCAAAAGACTTTTCTTGACATCAACCTGCATGACAATTATTTCATATATAACCTTGTATGCAGTCACAAGCAGTTTCGCACTACATTTTGTAAAAAATGGATGTGGACGAGAATAAAAGCAAAGATAGTTCAAATACCTCGATACTGCGTAATGTATCAATGAGGAGGCCTAGAAGAGGTACTTTAAGTGGTGGCGATGCCTCGAATACTAGTACAAAGCAAAAAATTGCAACTGCTATCAATCACATAGTACACAGACGTGCTTCGCTTTCGACTCAAAGACCTAAAGATTTCCTGGCTGGGATAATTACTCCACGTAATGAACAGATAACTCAGGCGCGAAACACACCACCTACTAGTCCTACTATTGACAAAACTTTGCAATTACCACCACCACCACCACAACAACAGCAACAACAACAACAACAACAATTACAATCACAACCACAACCACCACAAGTTCGACGACAAGAACAAGAACGGTTACAGGACATTAATAGAACTACAAGTATATCACCTCGTCCTCCTAGTACACATAGTTCGCATCATTTATCTATATCACCTACTCAACCGTCTTTCCCATTATCTGCCACTGTTGAAGAAGGTTCTTTGGTTGAAACCAACATTGACGCTTGTAATGATTCAGTTAATAATAATAATAATAATAATAACTCATCCAGCAGACGTTTTGGTCCTAATTCATCTAGTTCATCGGTTTCTTCACATAAAAAACAAAATTCATCATTATTTCCAAGAGACAATAAAAATATACCAAAAGATGATCGAATGGATAAATTGCTAAAGAAAGCAAAAAACTTTCTAGATCACAGACAACGACCGAAATCAAGAATTGCTTCTTTATGGAGTTTTATCGGTGAGTACATATTCAGGTCGGATTTTTTATTTTTGACGCGTCTTATTATTAATTGTTATAACAACAAGCTTATATATGCTAATTATCAGACTTTTACTTTAATTGAAAATTTTTATTATTTTAAATTTAATCATATAGTAACCTTTTTTTTTTTCTGTAATGTTCTTTTAAAAAATAATGTGAATAAATCAAAGATGTTTCAATTGAATTTGATCAAGCCCAATTCTTTCAACAGCATGCTGAAGAGGTTTTCGATGTAATTCACAAATCATTTATGAGCCAAGTTGATAAAATTAAACGTGAGAAAATAATTTTTTTATTTTTTTAAAAAAAAAGGTGACGCTATTAAATATTAATTTTAATCTACATAAATAGAAAAATCAGAACGTCCTATGTCATTTTCATCAAAAGAATTTTTAAATATAAACAAGACTCTACTTTTATTACGAAAAGTCTTTTTATTTTTACCTGAACGAATAAGGGGTGGATGGCAACGCAGACAAATAGGTACTTTGTTATATTATGAAAAAAATTGCTTACAAGTAATCTGACATAATATTAATTTATTGATGAACCTTTTAAAAAGCTGAAATGTTATCACACCTCCTCGATCACGGGAATCACCCTCGAGTTCGAATACAGGGATTTCAACTTTTATTGTTATGGATTAATGATCAAACAATAGAACTTACGGAATGCATGCATTTATATGCAAATGCAATCTCTTTGGATTTGTTCTTGTATGATCAAATACGAACTGGGTGTGATGATTATCAAGGAAAAGAAAAAATGTGGAGGTCTAGAAGGACCATATCACTTGGACAAATATTAATTAAAGGTAGGACCGATAAGAGAGTAGATTTAATATATATTATAATCTAATTTTACAGTACTAACTAAATATTCTAATGTGTAGCTGACGATAGAGGTGCTTTGTTCCCAAATCCTCATCCACCATCATTTCATGATGCTGTTCAGTTGATTCAGCTAGATCTTAGCAGTCTAGTTAGGCTAGCTCATGTTGCAGCAGGTTCAACTCCCCCATCAGAGAATTATGAATTTCCTGTCAATGAAAATATTGAGCCAGATAATGGAATCGCTATTGGCATGGGAATTGATGCTGCATTTGCTGCGGCGAAATTTCATTTCGAACTGACAAAAAAACAATATTTAGTAAAATTATTTCCACAATGTGCAAAGAAACTTTTGTTAATACCGTCAAATCAAGGCAAGATATATTATTATTTAAATGTTGAATTATTCATATATATTTATTGACGCTTTATTTTTATAAAGAAATTGGATTTCAAAAATGCCCTCCTACAATATTGCGTGCATTTATAAATTTCTTGATAAATCATTGTCTTGATAATAATGATATGATTTCCGATACAATATCCTCATATCCCTCACCTGCTACGCCGATATTAAAGTCGATTGTATTGGGTGCAGGAAATCGGGAATTTGCTCACGAGATTGTAAAACAGGCTCTCATGCTACCAGCTGGCAGTCCGTTATACAAAGATATAGTTAGGGGTGCTGTTCACATTGTAGGAGTCTGGATATTAAGTGGGGTTAGTATAAATATTGATGATAATGACCCATGAAAATCAAAGACTGCTAATTTTTTTTTTTTTTTAAAAAAAAATTACATTTAATTGGGAATAGCGATTTTAGATTTTTATATTCATTTTATCTTGTGTTTATGAATTAATATCTAAAAAAAAAAAAAAAAAAAATATCATAGGAAGAAGAGAGACCAGTTTTTCTTCGTAAATCACCACCACCTCCTCAACCAATATGTTCTGCAAATTCTGCGTTCACTTCTTCTATATTTGCTTCATCATCTCACACATCTTTAACATCTCCAGAATGTCAAAGTGAACCATCATATACATCGGTTAACACCCCATTGTCAGCTACTTCTTTAAGTACAACATTTGCTAATGCGAATGTTTACCTTCGTAGATATATTGTGTTATTAACACTTGTTTTCGAAGATCATTCTTCCCTGACTATCGATGGAGGAATGGCAAATGTCGAAGTGGAAGCACAAGTGTCGATTTATCGTGATGTGTTGGCATTATACCGTTCAATGATGGCAGAGGGTCCAATTGAATTAGAGCCAGCTACGTGGTATATGATAAGATTAATAGTATTATTTTTCATTTAAGCATAGTTCGAATAATGTAACTAAAAAATTCTTACGATTAAGGGAGACGTTGCTTTCATCACTTTTGGACATACAAGAGAGGACTATGAATCAATCTGAGAAATATGCACCAATATCTACGGTTGCGTTGGCTAATGACTTTGCTGATTATTTAGTTGAAGTATGTGTTTTTGCTGGTTGAGAAATAATTTATTGAACATATTAGAGGATCTGAAATCTGAAATTAAAAGGCAATTGCTTTTATAATAAAATAATAGACTGTATTATACGCATTTGCCCGGTCAAAAACTCAACAAATTACATTATGGCGTGCACTGACAAACCGTATGAGTATTAGTTTGGGATGGTCGCAGACTATATCACAATGGGCGGTAAGCTGTCAATATACATATTAATTTTGTTTAAGAAATATTAAATCTCACTTTAACTTTAATTCTCTTTAGAAAATTATGTTAAGAATGACAAAGATACTATCAAAAAATATTTATAATGTAGACCTTGACGCTGTAGAATTAAACCGTCGTCTTTTAGAACTAACAACTCCAGAAAGACATTTCCATAGACGACGTCCTTCGAAGAATACTCGCACACGACATTTATCGTTACGCAGTGCATCTCGGCATAAATCTTCGGGCAGTAATTCGTCGCGTGAGGAAATGATGGGTACCGATTTTTCAGTTTTTGTTAAGACAGCAAATGAGAATCGTAAATCAGGTCGTAGACCCATGAGTATGCATCAAGAAATTGGCTCATTTGAATCAAAGTCACAAGCCCTATTGAATATTGGGGCAACAGTATTTAGTGGTGGTGGATCATCCATTCATTCTGGAAGTGTTGCATCTGATGAGGAGGATCAATGTTACGACGAGGATGATTATTTTGATGCTAATAGCGAAATAGCTGCGGATGACGCAGCAGAAGTGAGGGTAATAGCCCTATACTAAAAGTATTATAAATATTCATTAAATTTAATTTATTAATCAATTTGTTTCCCCTATTTTAGTCAAATCGAACATCATCATCATCGGTGTTTTTTGCTCAGCCTAATTTTAGCAGTGATAGGCTTTCGATATCATTAGCTAATTTCAGGTGTCCAGATTTTGTTAATATTGAAATGTTATTTTGGAATACAGAAGATGCACTGTTAGTATGGAAGAATTTGCTTTGTGCATTAGGAAATTTGAATTATATTCAGGTACATTAATATATTATTTGTTACATTTTCAGATAATATTGATTATTTGTGCTAATGATTTTTTTTTTTTTATATATTTCTTTTTTTAGATTCCACCAAATCATTCCGAAGCGATTAAATGTATAGTTGATATTTTAGATATGCTTATTTTGGTAAACAATTTATTCTTAAAGATTTTTAATTTTATTTGAAAGTAAGATTAAATCATAACTTACGGTTGTTAGATCCGAAATAATCAATATGGAAATGTTTCGATACCCTTACTTTGTGATTTTGCACCTTGGCTATTCGAAGCTTGCGATTTACCTTTGTAAGAGAAAATTTAAGTTATTTTGTGAGATTTTTTCCTTTTTTTTTTAAAAAATAAAAAAAAAAAATTATAGGGCATTCGCACGAGGACGTGCGCTCGCGTATGCTGGATTGTGCAAATTGATGTCATGTCGTCACGATAAAGACTTTGATGAGAAATATTATTCTCATTTTTATCGTGCTTTATTAAAAGGACTATCAGATCAAGATTTGTTAATAACTCTCGCAATTATTAATAATTCTACGAGATTATTTTCTCAAAATCTTCCTGGTTGCAATATTCTTTATCGTAGTCTAATTGTCACTATCAGGAATTTGTTATCAAAGCATCACGATCATATTACGGATGGGATATCACAAAATGCAATTACTATACTTTGTTCACTAGTTTGTATTGTAGATCAGTTACCTTCTTTGAAGGTACCTAATTTATCTTATGAAAATCTAACCAAGATGAACGAGGAAAGTTTGAATGTATTAAAATTTGGTCAAAATGATGGTATAAAATTCTCCGAGGTAAGTTCAATTTTGTATAAATGTAGAATAAATATTAATTTTTAAATTGTTAAAATTTATAAATTTTTTAGTTGAGATTAATGTTGCAAGAAACCTTAGTAAGATCACTTTCAAATGAGGAAACAATTAACAATTATGAAACACATAATATGTTGCTATATGGATTATGTACTCTTTCATTTGATGAACTTACAACAACACCTTGGTAATTATAAAATAATTTGAATTATATGAATTATAAATTAAAATACTTTAATATATATTTTTTTATAAATACATAGGTCGGATAAAATAGTTATCAAAGGTTGTTTTCAAGCTTTATTGGAACAGCTATATTGGAGTCATTTACCAGTTGTTACTGCTGCAGCAGATTGCCTAATAACTTTTGCACAGAATTCTTCATTGTGGTGTGAAGATGAAGAGGTACGCGATGAATCTTAAGGTATCTCCTATTACCAATATCTAATTAATATTGAGCGTGTTTTGTGTCATTTCAGATATATTTTATGATTCTGCAAGACGTATTCGGAAATTTGATTGGAGCTTTGAATGAACATATTGCATTACAAAAAGCATCACACAGAAATGGAAGAGGTAAAGACTTATTTTATTTCTTAAAACATGAATTACACTAACTTTTTTGATGTATTTTTCATATAGGATTTATAATAGCCAAAATATTTTATTGCCTTCTTGAATGGCTAATGATTATCCCTTCAAATCTTTTTACGGACACAGAATTATGTCAACTTGTATTTGATTCAATTGAAATGGCTTGTGACATTTCAAATGTAAGTAAATATATATATTTTTAAACTTAATAAATAATTCGTGTAAATATTTTACTTAAATTCTTTATACATTAGTCGGAATCAAATAAACATCAGAAAAAAGAATTTCCAAGATCATCACATAATAGTAAAAGTAACCGTTCAAATCATGGTTATCCAATAAAATTTAAAAAATCAGAGAGGAAAATTCCCGTTAATCGTGAGGTGGGGGATGATAATGTTTTTGGAGTCGACAACTCTGTAGAGGATGTAAACTTTGTTAAGGTATTATTCTATTTATTAGGCTGATCAAACTTACATGATAATGAATTTGTTATATACTTTGTTTTCTTTTTTTAGGACATCGCAGAATTTGTTTTGTTACATTTAACACACCACTTGGGTAATTTTTCACCAATACACGGACCAGGTATGATGCATAGGTAAATATCAACGAGCACTAATATTATATCATTTTTCTTAAGAAAAAGAAAATAAATTTAACATATTTATTCAGTACGCTGGTAGGACCTATTGGAGCTGACACAAAAGATGATGAACTTTCAAATAATTATCATTATTTTTCATTTAATGATACAGCAATAATAACATTAGTTGAAATACCAGGGAAAAGTTCATCAGGTAAGAAATTATATTAAGTAGCTTCTTATTTACCTTGGAAATTAATAATGAATAAATGTATATATATATTTTTTTTAATAAAAAAAAAAAAGAATCACGAATGATAATTCGTGATTTTACAGGAAAATATTCATGGGATTCTAAATTATTTTATGAAAATAAACCTTTCTTTACTAGAAATAATTTAATAAAACCTAACAATACAGTATGTGAAAATATAATTTTCAAACCGGATATTAAACTGGTACCTAATTCTTCAAGAGCTAATTCGTAAGTTTCATTATCTGGTTAAGCGCGTTTATTTTATGGCATCAAGTTTTAATTTATATTTCTTGTTTTAAAAAAAAAGAACAACTTCGTTGAGGACGAAAGCGCAAAATAGATCTAGTAAAATTTTCGAAGGTAAAAATGGATTACCTGTATTGACGGAAATTCGTCAATCCGAACGTACTAACATGTTGGATAATATACTTCAATAGTAAGTATGGCTTAAAGACTTTATTATTGCAATTACCTAAAAAGATTATATCTTATGAAAATACTTTTATTACAAATAGTATTGGCGAACAAGTGACGAATTCGCAATCTGAAACATCCAATCAAATGTATCCAAAAAGATCAAAAGAGTTATTGTCGATTGAAAAAGAACTGGATAGACATATCCAAGAAGAAATTCTTTATGACAAGGCTACAGATATTCAAGCGTAAGTTTCGTTGAGGAAAAATTTTTCTTCGTTGCTTTAAATATTTATTAAGTTTTTCATTTTTTCAGACAATCTTGGTATGAAAATGATATTTCGTTAAGAAATAGCACATTACAAGACGATAAAATTAATAGACTCTCAAGAAATCCATTATATTCACGATCAACATCATATTTTTCACTTGGAGCAGATTTTTCATTATCAAAATCATTTTTACCTGCTTTGCCACCAGTAGCCGAAAAACATTTAGAACCATATCAACAATGTAGATTATTTTTAAGTCACTTTGGATGGTTAACACCTGAATCTTTAAATGATGGTACAATATGTGTATTAAATAAAGGAAATACGTTATTTAGGGATATTAGATTATTAGATAAAAGACATGCAAGAGAAGTTTTTAAATTTGCTTTGTTATATGTTGGGCCAGGCCAAGAAGATGAACAAAGTATTTTACGTAATACAAATGGAAGTGAAGAATATAATGAATTTGTGCAAAGTCTTGGATGGGAAATTGATTTAACTACTCATCCTGGTTATCTTGGTGGATTAGAAAGGAATGCTTCAAATGGATTAACCGCTATTTATTATTGTACCTCAACTATTGAAATTATATTCCATGATGTAACCAAGATGCCAACTGATCCAATTGACCCAAAACAATTAAGAAAGGTACGTTAAAAACCTGTAATTTCCTATTAGTCTTTTTGACATCTGAGTGATGTTAAATTTCGATCATCTGAATTTTTTTAACTTCTGTTTTCTTTTTCTTTTTTTAAAAGAAACGACATATAGGAAATGATCATGTACATATTATATGGAATGAGCATTTTAGAGATTATCGTAAAGGTACAATAGGAGGAGATTTTGGAAATGCACAAATAGTAATATCACCCTTACCAAATGGATTATATAATGTTGATATTTATAGAGATTCAAAAATACCACCATTTGGACCATTATTACATGGTATGATAATATCACGTAGTGTATTAGGGCCATTGGTTAGAATGACTGCAATACAAGCATATAGAAATAGTTTACATATTAATAGTATTAATAATTCAAATGTTTATCAACATCCTTATATGGAAAGAGCTGCTGATATTCAAATGATTATGAGTAGACACAAAAAAAATAATTGTAGTTCTTTTGAATCTTTTATGACTAAAATATTTGTTAGTGAAGATTTACCTGTATAATAATAATTAAATTTTTTATAAAGATTAATTTTAATTAAATTTTTAAATTTAAAGTATTAATAAAATTTATTAAATTTATTATTAAAATAAAATTTAAAATTTAACAAATTATCTAAATAATAAAAAGTATAATATTATATATTATTTAAATAATAAAAGGTATAATATTATATTATAATTTTTAATAAAAAATCTAAAAAACTTGTAAAAATATAAGATTATTTATTTAAATCTATTTCAGATTTAGCAAAATAGTTAAACTTTTAATTATACTAATTTTTACTAATATTTAATATAGTTTCACTATTTTATAAATTTTAATATAATTTTATTTTGCTTAATTTTCACAGTTTTTAATAAGATTTTAATATAATTTTGCTAAATTTTAATTTTTATCATTTAAATAACTTACAAAATCTTTGGATTTTATTTAGTAATCTTAATTATATTAAAAAAAACTTATAATAAAATTTTAAATCTAAAAATATAAATAAATAAATAATAAAAAATTGTTATTATATTTATTATATTTGTTAATATATTTTTCTTATAAAAAAAAACTCTTTCTACTGATTCCCAATTTCAATATGACCGGAAAAAAAATGAAAATAACAATAACAACAACAAGTCTAACAAGACTCGCTCTTCTTCCCCTAACAACGACCAACAGCAACGACCTGCTAAGAAACAGTTTATTGAACTTCCTCAACCAAATGAAGCTTCGTCTTCAAAAAATATTCCAGAAAATGTCACATCCTCTGATATAGAACTTGACACGACCGCTCGTCTACTTAGTGACAAAGAAAAGACACCTGAAACTTCCTCGTCCTCTCCAAAAGCCCTGATAGATATCGACTAAGCTTTTGACGTCACTGAAAACAGCCTTGATAATGACAAAAATAAAGCAAGTGGTATTCACCTTGAACGAGAAACGGAAGCTCCAATTTACTTTGCCTACTGCGCCGCTGAATGTTTCTTTCCAGCTAAAACCAATTGAAAAAAACAGAACGAGGCGTGTAACATATTCGCATCACATTATGCCTCTTTCATTGGTGCATCAGTACGCACTCACCCTGACGACCCCAATAAAAAAATTGTCCAAATTGGATTTACCTCATGCGATGAAGCCAATCATGCAGTTACCCTCAAAATTCCTTGTTTGGATAATGACACGTTTTCACCCCTGATCACTAAACCAGCCACAAAATACATTTCAGATTTGTCAATCAGAGTAACAAAGATCCCGATCTCTACTACAGAATCAAACTTGAGATCTATATTTTCCTTTTTCAGAAAGATCACTAAATGTACTATATCTACCAAAAATTTATGGCAACAAGCAATAATTACTTTTGAAGAAACACAGACATGACCACCCTGAATAAACTTAACAGTTACTTTATCCTAAAAGACCTTGTCTGAGTTCATCCTTGCACAATGTCGAATGAAGATGTCAGGAAAAAATCCCAATTTTCCCTTAAACTCACGAACTTACCTCTTGACACCAATGGCCGTCATCTTATCTCGATCGGCAATGCAATTGAGGCTATTGCTTGGGTCATTCCTAAATCACGTGCTAACTATCGTAACCTTCAATATGCTATCTTTTATTTTAAAGACAAAGAAACGATGAATGTCACCAAAAACAGAGAAACTTTCTATCTTGATAGAAAAAGATTAATCTGGGCAGACCCGAACTCAAAGTTATGTTTCATTTGCTAAACTCCTGATCACCAGTCACAAAATTGTCAGAAAAAAAGATCATCCCCTAGAGACCGCTAAACACAACAGCTCTACCAACGATTCCAACCGGTGCAATTCCGCAATTATCAGGCCTCTATTAATAAACCCAAACTATTTAATCCTAATAAATTGACACCAAACACAACGGATCAAACTAACAAAGTTCTATTAAAACAAAATAATGATCCAAAGAACCCAAATACAAATCCTAAACCTGTAAATATTACTCCTAAACAGCCAATTAACAAACCAAATCCCCCTTCTACTTTTCAGTCTAACAAACCCAAGCAACTATTTAACAACAATGGTAAAGAAACCTTGGATGCAAGTATCCATGCTTATAGTTCTTAGGCGGACGATTATGATTATAATTATAATTATAATTACCATCGTCCTAATGACAACAACGGTCAAAATGAACAACCTGATATGTTAACCAAAATTTTCAACCAACTTGAAATCATTGCAAGCCAGTTAGCCAAAATAGATCGTGATATATACTGCACCATTGAAAGATTTAAAGCTGTCAAAATCGTTCTTAATATTGATACACTTTTACCCCACCAAGCCGATCTACTTAATAAACACCTTAATGAAAATGGCATAGAAACCGAAGAAGAACATGAATATGTAGTTAGCTCTAATATCAAAGATAATATAGTCAAAAAACAAACTATTAAAATCGTCTACCTTAAAGAAGAAAACGTCTTATTAAAAACCAGTTTAGAAGACAACTTCTCCAAATTGAATAACACAAGTTTGGCCATCACGAATATGCAACGTCTTCTCTAAACTCAACTCAAAATCGATCTCAATGCATTTATTGATATAGCTGAGGTGACCCTACCCTCCAGCTATATCAAAGATGTGAATTGAGTTTTCATCCCGCCCTTACCTAAATATCTTTAATAATTAGTACAATAAAGGATGATAATAGAGCTAGCTCTAGAAGCTCAAATAACACAGATACTATTAATTTTTTTAACAACAATTTAGATAACCCTTCGATCAATAATTTTTCACATAATAATATCGCAACACACAATGTTCGTTCATTTCTCCAATCGCACAAACAACAAGCGTTAATTAACCACTATAACTTTGACAAATTAGACATCATCAGCATTCAAGAAACAAATTTTAAGTCGAGCAATGACATCCTCAGTTTTAATAACTCAATCTTATCTCAATATACTTCCTTTTTTAACTTCGAAGATACTCAAACATCTGGTACAGGTGTCAGACTCTTAATTAACAAACGTCTCACTGATCACATTTATAAACATAATGGAAAATATGGTTGCATAATTTTTGTAAACTTCCAATTTCGAAATAAGTTTAATATTTACCTTATCAACTACTACATTTCAAGTTTAAACAAAATCCTGTGAAAACAAACATACAATGATACTATCAAACTGATCGCTGAAGCAAAAAACCTGAATATAGAAATAATTTTATTAGGAGATTTTAACGCAGTACCTGATAGACCCAGCAATATATCCCATGCTAACTTGTTCTTTTCACAGTTAGACGAATTACAGCTCTTAAACGTTTTTGACTTAATCCATAACAATCCCAACCAATTTTTTCCCTCCTTCTTCCACTCGGCCAAATACCAACCAATGAGAATTGATCATATTTATTGCTCTTCGCTTATAGCTGCAGGTATTAATTTTACAGATACAACCGCAGTTGACTCACATGTCTCAGATCATTTAATCATTTTCACTAAAGCTCCGCATAAGCCGGCTTAGCTTGGATTGCCACTGGCTCGAGCTGAGCCACTTTTTTTTTGGCTTGGCTCAGCTCGGATTGTGGAGATCAATTGACAAGCCAAGCCAAGCCAGCTTGCAAGCCAGCTCGTTCAGCTTGCATTTATATTTAGAAATAAAAAACCGTCGAGAGAAATGTTTCTCATCAAGAGATGCGTTCCCAGAACGATTTCCTTTGAAAAAAACGTTTACAGAGCGTTTTCCATTAAGAAATTCGCTTTCAGAGCATTTTCTTTAAAAGAATTCGCTTCCAGAGCGATTTCCTTGAAGGATTTTGTTTTCAGAGTGATTTCCTTGAAGGATTCGCTTCCAGAGCGTTTTCCATAAAGGATTTCACTTCCAGAGCGTTTTCCATTAAGGAATTCACTTCCAGAGTGATTTCCTTGAAGGATTTCACTTCCAAAGTGATTTCCTTGAAGGATTTCACTTCCAGAGCGATTTCCTTGAAGGATTTCGCTTCCAGAGCAATTTTCTTGAAGAATTTCGCTTCCAGAGTGATTTTCTTGAAGGATTTCGCTTCCGGAATGATTTTCTTGAAGGATTTCACTTCCAGAGTGATTTTCTTGAAGAATTTCACTTCCAGAATGATTTCCTTAAAGGATTTCGCTTCCAGAGCATTTTCCTTAAAAAAAAACGTGACCAGTGTCATTTCTTTATTCAAATGAAAAATATTTAATTATTTAACATTGTGATACTAAATTTATATTGATAAATGAATTTATCTTTATTTTTAATTTGCAAAAAGAATTATTACAAAAAGTTAAAATATTCTTAAAAAAAAAATAAAAGTAGATATAAAAACTTTATAAAAACTTTAAAATACTAAGTTTTCTTTATCTATTTATTTTAAAATAAAAAACTAAACCAAATTATTTTTTAAAAATAAAATAATTTTCTTTCTTTATAATAATCTTTAATTAATTAAATCTGAATTTAACCATCCTTTAAGACACATGCATTTATTAATTGTTTCACCTTTTAAACTGCATCTTTTCTGAACTACCAAATCTGTTCCACCTGAAAATATTCTTTCTATTGGTGCACTAGTAGCTAAAAAAAAAATAATAAAATTTATATGAGTAATTATAAATTATAAAATAATACAATTAATATTTATATTAACCTGAAATAGCTAAGTAATCTTTAGCCATTTTAGAAAGATTTGGATATTCATTTTCATGAAGCTTTATAATAATATTTATAAATTAATAAATTAATTAAATATAAGAATATATTATTATAATAAATATTTAAA